AATAAAATGTATACACTTGTTGTTACATCAAATGAGGCAAAACGTGTAGAAACAGGTAAGTTTAGGACATCTCTCATAAAAATTTATTATTTTTGTTATTAAATCATATTTATTTTGAGTAATAAAGCACTGTCCAACAATAATTTAAAAAAAATAAGTAATATTTCAGCAACACTAGTAATACATTTGATGAAGGAAACGGACTTTCTCACAAATTTACCTAAATCTTCATATTTTGTTGTATAAAACATGAATATTATATGAAAGTTAAAATTGTTGATCTTAAATAAAACAAAAGTTATAAAGTGAAAAGTTATTAAAATGTGACTTAAATACTTCATCATTATATAATGGTACAATCACTTCCACATAGTTTTTTAACCAAGGTATTGTTTTTTTTTATTGATTCAATCATTACGGATAAATACTTTTCTAATTCTTCTTTATATAAGTTATTTGTTTTGTTATCATCAAAAACATCTAATGAAACTAATATTTGAGCAAATATACAAACAATTTCCTTATCTTTATCCTCCATTTTTACGTTCACAATTGCTTAACAACAGCCAAAGGAAACGGTTTTGATCTTTTCGATGAGTGCGCTTAGAAATCAAAGTAATCGGGCAAAAATAGCGCTCATAAGTATGAGCGCTTTAAGTATGTGAGCGTCCAAAACGAACGCACCCATAGACGTAAAGTACTGACACGAATATGCTCTGTGCGCATGCTCTATAGCCACATGCGCATGCGTTTTCTTTAGTTGTCGCTAGTAAAGCTCGAAATTTAAAGTGCAAAAAACATGAAAATGAAGATAATAAGTTGTTATGCTTGTTATGTACGCACGCACGTATGCACGATGTTAAATTTATTTGACTTTGTATGTTTAATTAATGACCGTGAAAAATTAATAGACTTTTTAATACAACACGGTGTATATATATATATATATATATATATATATATATATATATATATAATATTATACTATAATATATTGTAGATGCTAAAACACCGTGTTGTATTAAAAAGTCTATTAATTTGTTACAATTATTGATTAAAAAATTGGTAATTATTCAGTCATACCGGCTATCTCTAGCTATGTAACTGGAGGGCTTTGCCCCCCAGACTCTCCGTAACACAGTGAGATGGGAGCTACAGTCTTTTGTGAGAAATTCACTCTTTAGCTTAAGCATAAGGAGCATAGAGATATAAGAATAGAGCGCGCGAGAGGGCTACACACGCGACAGAGGGTTAGAAAGAGAGCGCTGCAAATAAGGCTATCCTTGTCTTTTCGTGCAAGAGACTGGAGACTGGAGTTCCTCTTAAGCTCTCTGAGCTCCCCCACTCAAGTTGTAATCTAAGCCCCTCTTCCAGGGCACAACATAGCCAACATAAATCTGACATTACTTTCATTACAGTTGTCAACGTCGATAGTCGAGTTGACAAACGTTTTGCTCCGTTCGGAGGTCGAGCTTTCGATTCTCTGACAAGGAAAATTTATTTTTTTTACTATTATGTTTAATGAAAAATTGTGTTTTGGTATATTTTTTGAATTTTTAATAAAAATATTTTTTGATGTGTTTATAAATTATTGTAATTATTTATTAATTATTTATTCACAGCGAGTATATTTGTAGAAGTATAAAAATGTCTTGATAATAACGTTTTGTAATTAACATTTTATTCTACTTCATTGTAATACATATTGATTAGACTTGCAACAAAAAATTTGATTTTACAATAATTTTCACATGGAAGTTGATAATATAGTAAATAATATTGTCTAATTTATAACGCTTTTTATATCTTGAAATAATAATTAATGACTCGACATTTTATTGACCAGAAAATATTGTTATCTTATTATTATGCATGCGCTTTCTTACAACTTGATCGTTTATGATTGCACTTTCGTGTTTGAAACGCATATTTAAGTAAGTTTTAATGATTAACAAAATTAATTGATATCTATGATCTAAAAAAATTTCTTGTTCAAGACAATGCTTGTCGTCATCTAGAATAGAAGCTGGTAAAATTCTTAAAGTTTCAATAACAATTGTTTCACAAATATTTTCTGTGAATTTTACTTTTTGTTGACGTATAATTTTTTCGGTTGATTTACAAATGAAATTAACATCATCGGAGGCGAAATGTAAACCTCCATAATTTTTTAATACTGTTAACTTAGACTTATTAATACTATCTTTGCCATCTAATATATCACAACATTTTTGGCAGTGAATTTTTTTCTTAATAATACGAACTACAGCACCAGCTGTGTGCTTAATAATTTCTTCAGCGTATTTGGATAAAGCAGTGGACGAGTAATTGTGTTCGAAAGTAGCGTAATTATAATTGAAATATTCACTGAAGTTAATACTGAACTTAACACCTTTACGATTGTCACAATGTTTTTCAGAGATTTTCGCTGACGTGTTTTTTGCGGGTTCGTTATCAGCGTTTAGATTTTTCTCATTAATGCACTCACTAGCTTCAGTTATCATGATCGTTTCATCCAGTGGACAACAATTTGCAGATGATGAAATGATTATATTTTGTTTATTTACTGCCAATTTTCGAAATGCCGATAAATATTGTGTTGTTGTTGGATTATTATTGAATCCATTCATACGTCTAGATGAAAAAAACATCTCAACGTGATCTTGAGATAGTTTGTAACTTAGAAAATATTCAACAATGTTATTTTTAATTAAATACTCCGATAAACTTAATAAATTTTTCAAACATATGATGAATCCAACAAATCCTGTACTAACCGAATTACAATAAACAACGGACTGACCCTCAGTAACATAGTGTGAAGGTACATTAT